CGGGCGCGCCCCCGCGCTGCCCCCTCCCACAGGCGGCAGCCGGTCCCCGGCGTGGGGGCCTGGAGCCCAGGTCCCCACCCCTGCCCTTCCCGCACTGAGCTGCCTGGGTCCTCGTACCCCATGCGTTCACCCCCAGGACTCACTGCCTGCGGCGGCACGGAGCCCAGAGCCCGTGGGGCTGGCGGGAGGAGTGGGCACCCCCGTGCCCGCCAGGATCACCTGCTGCATGGAGAGCAATAGCTGTGCCCTGCCCCAGTGGGGCAGACCCCCAGGGTCCAGCTCTGCCCAGGCACCAGGGTCCGGGCTGCGCAGTCCCGGGAGGAGCGGGGTCAGGAGCAGCCAGGCGAGACGGGAGGTCCCAACAAAAGTCCCAGAACGGGCCTGACCTGAGGCTGGCTGAGTCTGTGGCCGGACCCTGCCGTCCTGGCATCGGCCTGCCTGCCGCCACGGGCTGTGTGGTCCCCACTCTCTGGGCCCAGCACCCCCGAGCCCCTGATCCCTGCAGCCTGGCGCTCACCGGGGGCAGGGAGGGAGCGTGGGGGCAGCAGCAGCAGCATCCAGACCCCCCCCAGGAAAGCAGCCATCTCTCGTCCTGGTCCTAGGGCCGGGGGCTCCGGCCGGGAGCTGAGACACGGGCAGCGGTGGCTGCTGCAGAGCCGGGAGCGACTGCGTGGGCTGTCACCGGAGCCGGGGGCACTGGCCCGCTTACCTGATCCCTCCCTGCCGTCACCGAGCATTACTTACAGCCAGGAAGGACCCAGGAGGACTCACTTTACACTTTCCACAGGCGAGGGGGGGGAGCCAGGCCCTGCCGGGCGGGCGGGTGGGGACAGGGGGTGGGCTGCCTGGTGTGCAGCAGCTCTGCTACAGCCTCCCGGTGAGGGACGCTGTCACATCACTTAGCTGGGGGCTGCGGCCCCTTTGTGGGTGGTGCAGGCCCAGCCCTGGGAGGGAGGGAGGGAGGGGGGGGCACGAGAGGAAATGAAGCCGGGCGGGGGGGGCAGGGAGCCCCTGCATGAGGCAGTGGGTGCGGACCCCAAGCTGCGCATAGCTCAGGGGCTGCAGCCGGGTCCCCCCGGGCCTGGGAGAAAGAACCCACCAGGTGGGTGCACCGTTGCTGCAACACGGCCCCCGGCCCCAGCAGGGACTGGGCACGCCGGGCGCAGGCCCCCAAGGCACGCCCCGTTCACACTGCTGCAGCCCGGCCCTGCGCCCTGGGGCTCAGCGCAGGACCCCCCGCACGCACAGCGACGGTCCTTGCCCGACCCCGCGCCGGGCTGGGCCCCGACAGCTCGTCCGAACCGTAACCTGAGGCCGGCCCCCCCGGCCGCCGGTGCAGCCTGTGCCACCGCTGCTGGCCCAGCCCCACGCCCAACAATGCGCCTGCTCCATTATTGATGCCTCGGGAACGGCCGCACGGCTGCATTCACCAGCAGAATAGCAGATGGGAAGGTGAAACCGCCGGGATCGAGCCGACTGCCCCCCCGCCCCGTGCCAGGCTTGTCGCCCAGGAAGCAGCCAGGCTGGGCAGGGGGGCCAGGGCCAGGGGCCAGGTATCTTCCTCCAGCCCTTGCTGCCCTCGCAGCCCCCTTGCATGGGCACCCTGTGCCCGACGGGCCACGAGCCACAGCCTGCTGTGCCACCATGCCCACGCAGCCAAACCAGCGCGGTGCCTGGTGACTGCCAAGGATGCTGCTCCTTGCCCTGGCCCCCAGCACCCATGGGAGCGTGGCTATGTGGGCCAGTGGCAGGAGGGGCAGGAGGCAGCCAGGCCCCGGGCATCTGCTCCCGGCCCAGCCAGGCCCGGAGGGGGAAAGCCCGCAGCGTCTGCTGGGACCAACACAGCACGTGGCTGCAATGCCACCCTTGGCCCAGCAGCCAGGAAAGGTCAGTGCCACAGGAGCCTCTGCGTAGCTCCCGTCCCCACTGCCTGCCCTGCCCAGGCCCGGCCCGGGGATCTGCCCGCACCCAGGAGGGCATCTCCATCTGCTTGCAGGGGGTGAAGAGGCAGGATGAGGGCAGGACGTGCTCCTGACAGCACCCCACAGCATCCCGTCTGGGGGTCAGCAGGGCCGGAGAGCTCATGCCTGCAGCGCCCGAAGGGTGACGTCTGACTCACTGTCACTCACTGGCGGTGACGAGCTGCTCCCATTCCCGTGACCAGGGAGCACTGAGCCCGCCACCTTTTCCAGCGGGTCTCATGTCACCGGCATGGCCTGGCCCTGGCCCTGGCCCTGGCCCTGGCCCTGGGTGGGGACCAATGCGGGTGGGTGTGACCCCAGGGACTGGAGGCTGGCTCCTCTGGCAGTGCCCACGGGATCCCTGCCCCCTCGCAGGCTGCAGCCACCTCTGCCCCTCGCTCTACCGGGACCTGGCCCAGACCCTGGCCGCAGCTCCCCACAGCCCAGCCAGACCCTCCCCCAACCCCACCCCCACCGCAGATCCCGGATCTGCTTCAGATAAGGGCCACAAAGGGTCAGGAGGCAATGGGGGAGGGGAGCAAGGAGGCAATGGGGGAGGGAAGCAAGGGTCGAGAGCCTTGCTCTCCCAGCCCCTGTGCTGCGGCCACAGGAGGCAGGACCGACCCTGTGCATTGCCATGCAAGCCCCCAAGCCCAGGGTTTCTGCCCAGCACCACTCTGCAGGGGCAGGGGCAGGGGCAGGGGCAGTCACCCTTCCTGCTTCAAGGCAGCAGTCTCCAACCAGGGCGCAGAGGGATTTTCCCAGGACCGTGTGGCAGGAAGCACCCAGGGCTGCACCCCCAGCCTGCAAGCCTCTGGCTGCTGCGGGGACAAGCCCCAGCACCCCAGTCTGCAGAGACCCTTGTCCCACTGGGGCCAGGCGCCCCGGGCCCGCGGGGTCCTCTGCCACACTCCGCTGGGGGATCCCAGCCGCTCTGCTCTCTGGGGCTCCTCTGCCAGGAGGTGGGATGGGATGCCAGAGTGTGGTTGGGGTACACAGGGCAGGGCAGGGGGTGCCACGGGGCAGCTGGTTCTGGCGTCCCTGCTGATGGGCACAGCTCGCCTGGGCTCTGCGCTGGGTTTCCTACACAGGCAGAGCAGATGCCAGGGCCGGTGACTCATGAAGAGGCATTAATAACCCGTCTGCTGCTGGACATGGCACTGATACTTTCAGCCTGGCTTCAGAGAGATGGCGCTGCCCTTAGCAGGGGGGCTGGAAATGGTTCCCCAGTAAAGAGGATCCAGTCCCAGAGCCAGGCCCAGTGCTGCTCCTGACTGCCCTCGGCTCAGGGAGCAAGCAGGGAGCAGCAACCAAACCTCCCAAACCCCCCCCCCCCCCCCCCAAGCTGGCACTGTCTGGAAACACCAGATCATTACGGCAGATGTGAGCAGGGTCGCGATGCATATGCAACCGCAAGATGCATATGCAAGCCGTGGCAGTGAAAGCAGGACAGACAGAGCAAGAAGCCTTCCTCCTGACCCTGCAGGCGCTCGTGCCCAGCACCAGCCAGCTAATTCAGGGAAGGAGGCTCTCTAGGAAACTGCACAACTTCCCGTGGAGCCCTGGAGATGGGCACCATCGCTTACGCGCAGCAGCCTCTCGTGGGAGCAGACAAACGGGGCTGCCTGCCTGAAAGTCACTGGGACCCGGGTTATCACGAGCTGGGTGCTGGCGACCAGGCAGATTTGGTGCTGGGAGCCCTGAGGGTTTGCACCATCTTTTACTGGACCAGCAGAAGCCAGACAGGTTCTACTTTTCAGTCACAAACGCACAACTTGCAAATCAGATGCAGACCTAGAAGGGAGCTGCTGGTCACAGCTGCGCTCCCAGGGCGCCTGACAAAAGTTCAATGGAACAAGATAAATACTGTACGTGGCAAAGCGAGGAAAACGTGGACTGTGATTGCCAGAGCCACCGCTCAGGAGAATAGCAGAAAATGACTGATGTGACCAGCACGTGGCAGCCAGGGCAGCTTGCTCCCAGCCCAGGGGGCAAGTCTCAGTGCTAGACTGGATTCTGCTCAGGCTGGTAAGCCCTGCAGGGTTATAGGAAAAGACACTGACAGTGACACGGGGAGGTCACTTAGACCTGAGTAGAACTAGGGACATTTTATACGGGCTTCAAATGCACAGAGAAATCAAGAAATATGTCAAGGCTTTTGTACATGCCGAATACACAGACCTAGTCAAGCAAAAGAGCCCAGGCTGCTGCTGGTATAACTGCCCCTTGAACAAAGTAGGCCCAGAATTATTTACATCAGCTGGAAGAGACGACACGCACGCCCCGAGCTACAATTCTGTCTCCTGTGACGGCCTCTCTACGAGACGGTACGGCTCAACAGGCGGCTGTCGTGGCCACTTCTTCTGACACTGCACCCCAGACAGCGACACCTGACCACAGACTGGGGCTTAGTGTGCACGAGTCCACTGACCAGTGGGGCTTTCCCCCTCTGTTTCAGTGGGCTTGGGACCAGGCACGAGGGAAAAGCCAAACGCAGCAACAGGATTTGGGGTCCAACAGGTGCCGCGACTTCAGGAACACGACACACCAGCCTACGATGGAAATCAGTGGTGGCCTCCAGCGCTGCCCATGCCCCAAATCTGTAACCAGAAGTAAGAGGCAAAAGTCTCTGCAGCTTCCCAGAAGGACGGAGAGAGTCAGACTCAAAGGGAAGCAGGGCTGGGCGGGACCTCTGGAGATCGCATCTGCAGCCGTGTCCAAGCCACCCAGACAAGCCTTTGTCTGACTCATTCCTGCAGTGACACAATGGACCCTGCAGCTACAGGGCACATGGTCCAAGGACACCAAAACCGCCGTCACGTAACCCTAACCTACCATGAGGGCTCTCACTGCTCCCAGGTTGTTAAAATATGCTGCAGAGTCCCCAGGCCTCGGCAGAGGAAGGCAAACCCCCCCAGTCTGCACCAGTCTGACCAGGGGAAATCCCTTCCTGCCCCAGCATGAATGCTGCGTGCCCCCGGAGGCTGGAGGGGCTTGGCGACCACCCGCAGGCAGCCGTGGTGGTGTCAGCGGGGGTGGGTGATCACCTGCAGACGCAGGGGCCAGCGGCGATTGGAGACGTTGCTGGCAGTGTGGGCAGGAAGGCGGGGAGGTGGTGGTGAGCTGCAACCCCCCACAAGCACCGCCACCAGTGTTGGTGGCACTTTTTCCCGGGGGTGTGCCGCCAAGCTCAGGGGGTGCATATGCACCCGCGTTCACCCGCTACACATCGCCAACGTGCCCCAGCGCAGCATGGGTCCCAGCCTGGGCAAGACCCGCCAGCAGCAGCATCAGCACAGCCCAGCCCAGCCTCCACAGCCTCCAGCACAGCGGCGGCCCGGAGGGAGGTGAAAAACCCGAGCCCCGGAGCTGGAGTTTGCCATTTCGCTCGAGGAGGTGTTGGGGGGGGCGAAAGCCGCGGGCCGGTGCCAGGCCGGACCCGACAGACCGAGCGGGGCGACCGGCGCCCGCGAGCCCCGC